TGTTGATGTTATATGTATGTTGTATTTACACACTACAAAATATAGATAAATCATAACTCATTTCAGGTAGTTATAAAAAACATTAACAATTTGTACATTTTATAACTTTTTTACTTTTTACTTTCAGAATGAATAAAAAACAGTGAAGATAACAATTTTCAACTGAACATAAACATTTCATTATCATACAGCAAATTGCAAGATGTAAAATGCTGTAATGTCTATGTGCATTAAATGTTTTATTTGTGCTGGCTAAATAATTTGCAAAATTATTTTATATGTAGCAGAATTGTTACAATGTCAACTGTTGGCTTCATCTTTCAACAGTTATATAGCACTAACAAGTTAGTAATTCTTTACAAAGAATAACAATCATGCAATTTCAATGGATTTCATAAACAAAGAACTATGAATCTATAAACACAGAGACTGATTAAAAGAATGCACAGTTTAAAGCACAATGTTTAGAATGCACTGAACTGATAATAAATATTTCGATATTTTTTCTGTTGGTTTGTTTGATTAAAACAGGAGCTCACTTGTTTAACCAAAGCTTGAAATATCATATCATTCTGTTATATCAAGTCAAATGGGTCTTGAATATCAGGACGTCTAGCCCTTTGTCCACCATGCCACCACATTTCAATTGCCCGTTGTGCGTTATAGTCAGACTGATGTGGACTTTCAATTTATAATGCCATCAGGAAGTTAAGCACTTCCAATGTCCAGACGTGACCTTCGATCAGATTTAATTATTGCCATAGTTGAAAACCCTCCTTCGCAGATAGCACTTGACACTGGAAAACATACTATGATTTCAACAGGCATAATGATGTTTTTAAGAGAATCCTTAAGATTTTGGTTTGTGAACAACCTGTTGTAGAAATCAGACACACTGATTGACCTTAGTTGCCTTCTCATGTGCACTTTCAGAGCTGGCCATTCAGCTTGTATATCTCAGTTCATCTCTTGAAGAACAGTTAGGTAATTGCTGCAAAGTTCATTCAAGCTATTTTCTCAATAAACAGCAATCTCCAGTGTCACTGATTCTTGTTGTGATATGGTCAATAACAAGGTCAATCAGAGTGTTGAACTGTTCCTGTGTTAATGTGGGCTGATGTAGTTGAATGTTTTTTGAACTTGTTATCATCAGTGACTGAATCAATGAAGGACTGAAGGTGAACACCATGGCGATGATGAAGGGCAGTTAAGTCTTAAACATGCAGCTTCCAGAGCATCACATTCTTGGTAAACCACAGCTATACCTCTGGAATTGCAGTGACAATCCACATAGGATTGTTAAAACATCTTGCAGAAAGTGCATGTAGTACAGCAGATTGTAATCTTTTAAATGCTTAAGTATTAGATGTGCTCTCCTTTGAACATCTGCAGACCCAGGTTGTCCCTCAAGGGTATTTTCAAAATGTGCAATAAAGGTAGGATATTTACTGAGTATTACATGAAGGCACCAACTTAGATGTACCAGAAAGATTAACAGGCTTAGCCATTTTTTCTTCCATGGCATCAGACAACTGCTGTAAATCCCTCACAGCCTTAGCACTACAATGGTAATGTGTGTGTAAATTCATAAGTACAGATTTTAGATCTGCAAACATTTTACCTTCTCTGTCCTTCATAGCATCTATTGCTCCAAGTCTATGGCTCGAACAGTGCACAGCAAACACACAAGGAATTTCATCTTTAAGAAGCTTTGATATACTGTGTATTTTTCCTAGATTTACACTTGCACCATCGGAACCTGTTGTAATAAGCTTCTTCTTCAAGTATAAAAGTAGCGTTTGCTTATAGATTTGTCAATAAATGCACAATCACAAATTACGCGGATGAATATGATTTTAATAAATGAAAATGCTATTTTAGCGATGTCGATTACTGAATACTATACAAATAAATCTGACTGCAGAGTAGTGGAATATATAGATTCTATATGTCGGACTCTTTGGGCGGGAAGATTTTCGCTAAATTATTTACTTCAATTTTAAAGAACAGGTTTATCCTCAACAAAATACCTCGAAAAATTAATAAGAAATGCAATGGAAGTTCTAAATTTAGAATGACTTGATTTTATTCAGGCATTGTTTATATAACTTCTCCGTGGTGCAGGGGTAACGCGCTCGTTTAGTGTGTGAGAGGTCTGGAGTTCAAATCCAAGTCGAGGCAACTTTTTTAAAAATTCTTTTTTAAGTGTCTTTGTAAAGGAAGTAGCCATGATATGCAATGATAAAGTGTGGCTGTCATAAAAAAATGAACATAAATGATTTTTTGATGCATATCTAGTTATGCAAAATTCCGTATGTATCAAACTCATGTGCCTTGCAAGATGAATTATAGTACATAAAAATAAACTTATACAGGAAAATACATACAGATATACAGTACGATTTAGATCAGAAAATTCCACAGAGCTTGCAGCCCTTTGATTTATACATGTATTCCATGAAAAGCTTACAGGCTTTACCACTACGATAACTATTTTGCAAAACAATACCATGTTTCTCTTTAAGTGAAATCAATAAAGGATACATGGTAAATGGTAGCTCTTCCTTCGCAATAAAAAAACAGTTAAAAAGTGTTAAAACATGCTGTTAACTGAGTGTTTTGGTCTTCATTCCCTGCGGGCCGGAGCCCGCAGGGTATTGGTACGCGTTTAATTTTTGAGGCATGGAGGAGCACGTGACCTGTTTTCGGTACATGGAGGAGCATGTGATCTGTAAACCGTACATGATTGGTTAATTGACCTATTTGAAAACCTAGCTAAATACCGTGTCCCGGTACGTTACGGATTTACCTCTAGGGAATCATTGTATACACACCAGTCTCTCAAATGACCGGTGTACACAATGCTAGGGAATAAGTCCGAATTAAACCTAATTTAGAACATAACACTATTACGTGATATTTCTAATTTTCTATTATTATTTTACCGTTTAAGGTGGAAAAACTTGCATGATGTGTTTGAAAATTATAATTGTTTCTTTAATATTTATCTGAAATTTTACAGACAATAAATTGTTTATAGTGAAAATCCACAAAATTAAAACATTCGTTTGTGGCATCTGCCATAACAGATAGAGATATTTTCTGCGTAAACTTTTGTGTTTACTTTATTTTATTTTATTATTTTTTGGCACGGAATTATTCATACAATGGTATTTTATCATTTTCTTAAACAGAAATATTGTTTTATTTTCGACCAAGACCAAAGACCAACTTCTATTGATCGATTATTGTCAACTATATTCCTGATACAAACGTCATTTTTTTTCCCAAACCATGTTGAAAATAGTTAAATGAAATATCTTTAAATCTTTATAAATGTTCCCCGCAGGAAACCATTTTACTTGTTAATGTTTTGAATAGCAACATCCGAAGGACCTATCACTGAATGCTGACAAGCATTAGAACCAGACTGTAAGCCAGACCCAGAGGAACATTCAGAAAATATATCACCCGTATATGCTGTAGAAACTGTACTGGAGGATGATTTGCCGTATTTCACATAAAAATGTGTTTTTTTTTAATATGCAAAGCAGATTCATTGTGACTCTTAATAGCATCAATTTTAAAGTTCCCTGTACCCTATACAAACATCCCTACGGTTTCAAACTTATTGCAAGGGGTACAAAACATAATATCGTTCTCATCTTCAATATCAAGCCACGGAAAGTCATTTTTCCATTTGACACAAAACTGACGTTTTCTTCTTTTTTTATATAACTTTCTTTAGATTCTTGTTTCCCTTTTCTATTATTTGGCGTTTTGTTATTTCTATCTGATGAAAACCCTAATTTAAAAAGATCCATTTTAACTAAAATTACGTCTGCTACAATAGACAACATTAATGCATTGTCGTTAAACTTGGGTAACACGAATTTTTTACCTAATGTATTTTTTTAATTTACGAAAGAAAAACGTAACCACTCAATTGAATGATAAAAAAGTATAGTTAAGAGAAAATATACCGTGGCAAAAAAGACCAGGCATTGAGATTATCCCTAACTGATCATGCTACTTACCATCCGCATACCGTAAGTACTACGAAACAAACTGCAGGTGCTTTAAATTACGTAATGCAATAACAACTAATCATATAGCCGTATTTAATTTATTCACAATCGCTAAAAAAAGACATCGGATTTCCTTACTGTTATGAAAATATACGTAAATGTACCGAAGTACATGCTATTTTACTAAGTAAAATGTCTTATTATTCGAGATGAAGGGGAACATGATAAGTTTTGGATATATTTATCAATAAGCCCAGTTGGACCCGTTACAAGACTGGACCATCATCCTAGACAATGTCGTTCGGTCGTAGTTAATGTCTAACCCTGTATTATAGTCATGCTTAGTACTTGAATTAATAAAATTATACTCCGTCAAAGATTTAAATAATATACCAACTATGTAAAAATGAACACAATTACCTAAATTGCGTTATCGTTGAAAATCTCAACAACAATTTTAACTTAACGTTAAATTTGGTTGAATAATCAGAATATTTGCGGAGGTTCATAAACATATGAATGAGAAATAATAACGCATGCAGTGGACCAAATGTACGACTTAAAAAATCAAATTTTAGTTAAATAATGAGATGCGCGAAGACCAACAATTCATACAACAGAATATAACTCCCCAATTTGCTATATATTTTATAAGTTATTACTGACATGTAGACGACACACACTATTTATAACTTGCAATTTGATTTTAACACTATTAAATACCTAAATGTCCGTTCATATAAGCGTACATATATAATGTCCAATCAACAATGCTCTGGTTATTCCGCCAAAATTGGATCTTTTGTTTCTATTATACAGATATTTCTATTAATAGCTTAAAATACATGGCATGTTCTAGTTCATACCAGTCTCATTATGATAGTATTACCCTCGTTACTGTCGAATAACTGGCCGACAAACAAGAGTCTTTTTAAGTGACTCAACGAATTTTGAAAGAAAACCCTTATTTTCTTAATCGCCGAGCTTTTGGTCAAATGTGTCAGTCTTCCCGTTGTTATCTGTCCCAGTAAATATATCCAATGCCATATTTTGTTTTTCATTGATTATCATCTGATCCGAGAGCCAACCAAACGCTTCGAGCAATCCGTTGTCTTCTTTATCAGAAAAGTTGACATCATGGACCGTCCAGTGTCTATCTATGAAGCATTTTTCTTTCCCAAATTGTTCCCGGATATCATCTAGTGAAATTGCGCGCGGGTCGTCGTGATTATGGGCTAGAATAAGAACAGGTACATCACTTGGTAGAACGTCTTGCTGTATCTTCCTGCAATATTCATATATAGTTTCATCAGCTCTGCAACTGAAAGAAAAGTTTACATTTGAGAAATTTTGACGTTTAACAACGCCTCTAATGCGAACGTCATTAGTACATGTATTTATATAAAAGAAAATCTACAAAAAAGGCCCTTACAAAATAGACACATTTAACTTCATATCAATCGTCTTGTAAAACATGTAATACGAATAGTGTCTCGAGTAAATATAAAAGCTGTTATTTGGAAATTTTATTGCTAAACTTTTTTAAATAAATTGTGACAAAATTGCATCAAAATTATATTATGTCAACGATGTTTGCAATAAAACTGTCAACAGCTTTTTACGAAAATAATTGTTAGTTATGAATTCAAACTATATGTCTTCACAAAGTTTTACAGCAACAATTTAAGCAAGAACGGAACTGCTGTTGGCAACGAAGATGTGCAGGTTGGCCTACTGCATTCGATCACATTATATTTTGCAAAAAGAATATAAGTTTTAATAAGAATGGAAATTAATGTTATAAATCAAATAAGTTTTCCGACAACATAATAATACCCTAAGAATAATCTTAACATACAAGCTGTAATTTGGTTGTCGTATTGCAAAACTGGATGTACAACGAGTTTTGTAATTAATTGATTGCAATACTCGTTTTAATTTGCACAACGTGCTTGCCTTAATGAGAACGTGTTAAAATTTGAACATTGTTTAACCTATTTCAGAAAATGAATATTTTATTTCCTTTCTTTCTGATTTAGATATAAGCATGAACAACTACATTATTGTGCAGGCAGATTACAACTTTATCGAATCTATTGTCAAAACCCTTAAATGATTCAAAAGTATATTGAACAATGGCAAGCTACGAATTCAAAATATAAATCAGGATCAAGGATTTGATCCTCAATGTAGTGTATAATGACCATTGTTTTGATACTAACGAAGTACTTAACAAAAAAATGCCAAGATAATAAATTCTTTATCATAATATAAATTGTAAAATTTACCCACAACAATCCAAAACGAATACAAGTCCCTCTATCGTAGTATAGTAGTGTGGTAACAATGGGCGTATTGACATTCTGCCTCCCATATCTATAGCTGTCATTTCTACATTTTTATATCGTAGTACTTCTGCGTAAAGCCCATTTCCCAGCACAATATAACTTATTTCACCCAGCTTCAAATTATCCAGGATGTAAGATTGTTGAGAATTTTTATATCCAATAATTAATATCCGTACATTTTTATCAGCAAATAAACGTTTAAAAACCGAATTTCCCATTTTAGTTTCAGTGTATTTATCGTTTTTCTTCACAATGTGTGAACATTACTGGTTACAGAATCGAACTGTGATGCGGTGGCCAAGGCCACTATTACCGTGTAATACAGTTATCATATTGCGTTTATTATCTTCAGGCATGCATGTTTGTGATACACATTAAAATATCGACACATTAATCAACTGTAGATAAGGTTGTGATCAATATCAATGCAAGACTGATTCGAATTGTACTTTTTTCGCGGACATAATTTCTGTATATAAACAACAAGAGCTGTCGGCAGGACCACAACGCTCGACTATTCTTTGTGCTATTGGGACTTACTAAAGTTGTCAAAAAGTGAAACTGTAAAATATGCTTATGAGACTTACAGTTTAAGAGACCCAAAAATATCCATGATCATATTGTGCATTCTAGCTTTTCAAAGCAAATGTCAGTTCATTCATCTTCCCCTTGTAGCAGAAGTAGATGTTCTCATTGTAATCGAATTACTTCGGATGTATCTTTTGCAAGCAGTGTCACAGGCGAAAACTATACACTGAGAAACCCTACAAACTGTTCTACAAATAATGTTATTTATTTAATCTCGTGTCAAAAATGCAATACGCAATATGTTGGCCAGACATCTCAACCAGTTTCACGTAGAATGAATAGTCATAAATTTGATATTACAAATTTCAAAGATCCAGCGTTTTGAACTCTTGTTGCAACGCATTTTAATTCAATTGATCCTTAACATTTTTACCGTTTGAGATTGTCAGCGACACAATGGAGCGTCTATGTAGAGAAACCTACTGGATTCATAAGCTAAAGACGTTTTCACCATCTGGATTAAATGCAAAAATTATATATGACATTTAATTATTTTCGTAGGTTCGTTTGCGTAGGCATTCCATTATAAAATTGTTATATACATTTTCCAATATAATACTTAATCTGTTTTATACATGTATACATACGTGTTATTTTTCTATTAATTTCTCATTTCACATTTTTATTTTGTTTTTAAAAGAACTTGTTATGTCTGGCTGGCACAACCGTATACTGAATTTGAATAGAATCCGTTGGGTTAAAATACCATGAATGCTGCACAGTGTGAGTTAATTTGCTTTAGGATACAAAAATAAGTAACTAATACTTGAATGAATAAATTGTCATTTATTTTTAAAATGACTGTTCTTATAACAATAAATCTCTAAATTTTTACCAAATGTTTATTAACTAATGTATTACAAAATATTTAACTAAGAAAGATAAGCAAAGGTGGTTCATTAGAACCGCTACATGCGAAATGACACGAAATATTCGTGTACTGCTCAAGTACTATGACTATTGCATACTACACACTACGCAAGATAAAAAAATATTAGTACCGATATTTTTAATGTATTAGATATTATAATTAAACTTACTTTATTTTCCAATTTATTTGCATCTTTAGTAAAATTGAAAAATATGAGGGGAAAATAAGTTAGACAACTTGTGAGGCTCGAACTCGTGAAACAATTAAAGTTGTATTGCATCCCAATGACTTTACCAACTTTGCTATCAAGACATTTGCAATTAACAGCATCAGGGTCTGAAATTTCGCTACCATTATTTGTTTGGTCCGACGACCCAAACAAATAAAAACCATCCATTTCCCTTTTGACTGTACACATTACATCCTACATAAAATATATGATTATATTAATACAAGTAGTTTCAAGAACATATGGTCAAAATGGCGCTAAACTAAATTTCATGTTCAAGGGATTTGGTCACTACCGGCCCTTTGTGAAAAATTACTTTAAAATTTTAAAGTGCCTTGTCATCGACCGTGTGTTTGGTAAAACATTGATATATTGAAATTGTGTACATGTAAATGTCATGCATATCTGATGACTATAAAAGTTTTTTAATGCGTATACTGCAGGACGTCAAGAGAATATGTTTCAAGAAGCTTTACGTGTCGAAAGACATGACTTTGTTACTTTTATATTACCTTTATATTGATTACACAAATAAAAAAGAAAAAAAACATAAGGAGCACTATGAAAGTATTGACGTATAACGTTATCTAAACTACAAATGCTACCTTAGATGTGAGTGATTTACTATAGAAATTAAATATAATAGTTGATGTCACAATAGGCCGACACTGTCCCGTCGATTTGTTTGTAAGCAAAATAACTATGTGCATTTATGCGTTGGATAATAAATCTAAATTACTGGTGCTTCACTGGTTGTAATAATAATTCAAAAGACAATCATACTGAGAGCTTTAAAAATGTTTTACCCAAATCACAAGCTGTCCTCGTATATTGTAAAGAAACCACTACAATAGACTCTGTGTACCACCTCCTTAGGGATAATTAACAGACACATTCAGCAAAATGTCACCGGACAGCAGGAAGACGTAATGCGATCTTATCTAATTATTGTTACAAATCCTGGTTTGGACGACTAAATAATTCAATAATTAGTCCTTTTATAAGAAGGAAAATTATCTCCTAAAATGACAGTACGTTCATTAGTCCGCCTACATGTCTCGTCTCTTGTGTTATTCAAAATTAACCAGTTCGGATGTCTACTCAGAAAAGTTGCGGATTTATCAAAATACCCCGTAGTCTCAAGTACAGCGCCATTAATATCATTGTGCTTCAGGGAATTACTGTTTTTATGTTGCCATTTCAGTTTATAGCTTATCTAGATTATAAATGTTAAATGCCTATACATTGTTTATGTAACTTCGTAAACTAATCGAGCGAAATTGTATTAAATATATTTATATTTACAAGAAAGGACTTTTAGAACGTGAAAAAAAACAACAAACAAACAACAAAAAACGTAACAAGGTATTATGATATCCTTTCGTTCATGCGCGATGTTGATATCATTATGTCCATGCATATTTTGTCTAGAGCATTACTCCAAGATTACTTAAGCGATTTTCTTCAAACTTCATACACTTACAGAACACATAAGTAGGCAGTGCAATAATTTTGCCTGTAATTCCCCTGAAAAACTGTGTGCGCAGCATAATTCCAAAAGAACTTTTTCTTAAATCGTGATACTCTGACAGAGCACATAAGCATGAAATGCACTGGTAACGAACAATACGTCTACCGTGGCATCTTTTAAAGATATTTGCCTTTATCAGATTTAACTTTTTTCATGCCGGGTCATATTATGGTTTTCCTTTTAAAAATATATAATAAATACATGTATATGGTTAGCTTTATCATTTTTGATTATTGTTTTTCAAAGTCATTGCGGTATTTCTCCTTTATTGTTCGCACATATCTTCAGAAGCATTAAATTTAAATCTTATACCGATCCCTAGTGATTATACACTTTGACGGGCACTCTTTCTATTAGATCAAATTGATAAGATATGTAGACCGGTCCAACATCTAAGATATATTAACTGGTCCAACTGCTCAGATATGTAGACTGGTCCAACTGCTCAGATATGTAGACTGGTCCAACTGCTCACAAATGTAGACTGTCCAACTGCTCAGATATGTAGACTAGTCCAACTGCTCAGATATGTAGACTGGTCCAACTACTCACAAATGTAGACTGGTCCAACTGCTCAGGTATGTAGACTGGTCCAACTGCTCAGATATGTAGACTGGTCCAACTGCTCACAAATGTAGACTGGTCCAACTGCTCAGATATGTAGACTGCTTCAACTGCTCAGATATGTAGACTGGTCCAACTGCTCAGATATGTAGACTGGTCCAACTGCTCAGATATGTAGACTTGTCCAACTGCTCAGATATGTAGATTGGTCCAAGTGTGCAGATATGTAGACTGGTCCCATTACTCAGATATGTAGACTGGTCCAACTGCTCAGATATGTAGACTGGTCCGACTGCTCAGATATCTTATGTAGACTAGTCCGACTGTTCAGATATGTAGACTGGTCCAACTGCTCAGATATGGAGACTGGTCCCACTACTCAGATATGTAGACTTGTCCGACTGCTCAGATATATAGACTGACCCAACTGCTCAGATATGTAGACTGGTCCAACTGCTCAGATAGGTAGACTGGTCCCACTACTCAGTTATGTAGACTGGTCCAACTGCTCAGATATGTAGACTGGTCCAACTGCTCAGATATGTAGACTGGCCCAACTGCTCAGATATGTAGACTGGTCCAACTGCTCAGATAGGTAGACTGGTCCCACTACTCAGCTATGTAGACTGGTCCAACTGCTCAGATATGTAGACTTGTCCAACTGCTCAGATATGTAGACTGGTCCAACTGTGCAGATATGTAGACTGGTCCCATTACTCAGATATATAGACTGGCCCAACTGCTCAGATATGTAGACTGGTCCGACTGCTCAGATATGTAGACTGGTCCGACTTTCAGATATGTAGACTGGTCCAACTGCTCAGATATGGAGACTGGTCCCACTACTCAGATATGTAGACTTGTCCCACTGCTCAGATATATAGACTGGCCCAACTGCTCAGATATGTAGACTGGTCCAACTGCTCAGATATGTAGACTGGTCCCACTACTCAGTTATGTAGACTGGTCCAACTGCTCAGATATGTAGACTGGTCCAACTGCTCAGATATGTAGACTGACCCAACTGCTCAGATATGTAGACTGGTCCAACTGCTCAGATAGGTAGACTGGTCCCACTACTCAGCTATGTAGACTGGTCAAACTGCTCAGATATGTAGACTGGTCCAACTGCTCAGATATGTAGATTGGTCCAACTGCTCAGATAAGTAGACTGGTCCAACTGCTCAAATATGTAGAATGGTCCAACTACTCAGATATGTAGACTGGTCCAACTGCTCAGATATGTAGACTGTTCCAACTGTTCAGATATGTAGACTTGTTCAACTGCTCAGATATGTAGACTGGTCCACCTGTTCAGATATGTAGACTTGTGCAACTGCTCAAATATGTAGACTGGTCCAACTACTCAGATATGTATACTTTTCCCACTACTCAGGTATGTAGACTGGTCCAACTGCTCAGATATGGAGACTGGTC